TGAGTCAAGCCGAGGGTACATTTGTCGAAATCCGGTCGTAATTTTCTTGTTTGAATATTTGAGTTAAGCCGTTGGTACATATGTCGAAATCCGGCCGAAATTCTCTTGTCTGCCTATCTAAGTCAAGCCGTTGGTATATTTGTCGAAATTCGGCCGNAATTNTCTTATCTGAATATCTGACTCAAGCCGAGGGTACATGTATTGAAATACAGATGAAATTCTCTTATGTGAATACCTGAGTCAAGCCGANGGTACATTTGTCNAAATCCNGCCGAAATTCTCTTGTCTGAATATCTGAGAAAAGCCGTGGATACATTTGTCGAAATCGGGCCAGAATTTTCTTGTCTGAATATCAGAGTCAAGCCATGGGTACATTTGTCGAAATCCGGCCAGAATTNTTTTGTCTGATTATCTGAGTCAAACCGTGGGTACATACGTTGAAATGCGGCCGAAATTCTCTTGTCTGACTATCTGAGTCAAGCCGTGGGTACATATGTCGAAATCCGACTGAAATTCTCTTTTCTGAATATCGAAGTCAAGCTGTGGGTACATTTGTCGAAATCCGGCTGGAATTCTCTTGTCTGAATATCTGAGTCAAGCCTTGGGTACATATGTTGAAATCCGGCCAGAATTCTNTTGTTTGAATATTTGGGTCAAGCCGAAGGTACATTTGTCGAAATTTGGCCGGACTTTTATTGTCTGAACATATGGGTCAAGCCGTGGGTACATTTGTCAAAATTCGGCAGGAATTCTCTTGTTTGAATTTGGGTCAAGCCGTGGGTACATATGTCGAAATCCGGCCGAAATTCTCTTCTCTGAATATCTGAATCGAGCCGTGGGTACATTTGTCGAAATCCGGACGAAATTTTCTTGTCTGAATATCTGAGTCAAGTCGTGGATACATGTGTTGAAACCCTGATGGAATTCTCTTATCTGAATACCTGAGTCAAGCCAAGGGTANATTTGTTGAAATCTAGCCGGAATTCTCTTGTTTGAATATTTGAGTCAAGCCGTGGGTACATATGTCGAAATCTGGCTGAAATTCTCTTGCATGAATATCTGAGTCAAGCCGTGAGTACATTTGTCAAAATTCGG